ATACATGCCCATGTGCCCAGCATGACTTTTAAGCTATCTGTCTGAGACTCGAACTGCAGTTGACTACGTGGGAGTCCAGCGAGGTAACAATTATGCCATCTACTGGTCCCAAGGTTAACAGGTTGTTAATGGGAAATCCTTATTGACATAAATCTGAATAACAGATTTTCCAACAATTAAAATAATACGTGGTAATTACCTACCTTCTTATCACTTTAGTCTTTATTCTTTTAACACCAACAACAGTTTTTCTAAGCCCAGGTAAAGTGTTTCCTCTATCTTCACTTTTTCTTCACTCTATAATATTATCCACTTTGATTTTTTTTTTTAAAAAAGGTTTGTAGTATCTATTTTTATGTTTGTAGGTAAAGTTAAGGAATATTTTTCTCTGCAGTGAAAACAAATAACCTGAGAAACCATATGTCAATAGTCAACTGGGTTTCATATGGGTAAGATCTCTCAAGTATTCAGGAAGCCAAAGAAGAAAAGCAGAGATACGATAGCCTAACTGGTTGATGAAAATCTTTGAAAGCACCTCTCCTTCTCTCTCTCCCCCCTTTCACTCCCTCCCTCCCTCTTTCTCCCTTTCTTCCCACCTCCCTCCTTTTCTCTATTCTTCTTTCTTTCCTTCCTTCTCTTTTTTCCATACTAAGCTTTCATGAAAAACAAAAACAAACAAAAGAGAGAGAGAGAGAGAGAGAAACAAGCATCCGTAACAGGGTTTCACAATCTTCCTCTAGCCTTCCTGGTCAGTCAGGATCATAGGTATGTGTATACAGTTTGACCCAGGAACCAAACTCCAGTCTTACATATGGCTTCCAGCATTGCAAAGTGTTGTGTTACTGCTGTGCCAACATGGCTGGGCCTAAAAATGCTTTTCTTAATTTTTTCATTGGAACAAACTGTTTCACTTAAAATGTATAAAAAGGCATCCAAGTAATAATAGACCTAAGAAGGCTGCTCTTCAGCTAGGTAACCAGTAATACTGTGTCACATTTGCATTTTAATGATCCAACTTTGTGTGTCTCTTTTACACACACACACACACACCCCCTCATGCACATGATATTAGTGATAGTCCTCTTTATTGTCTTAGTCTTTATATTTTGCGCTTTTCTAAAGACATGCTATTATTAAAAAGTCAGTTCAAGAGACAAAATTCTCTCTATTGATACATTTAATTCTATTTATCTTTTATCTTTTCTTTTTAAAAAATAATTATTTCACTTAGTGTTATTTACTTATTTATTTATTTATTTATTTATTTATTTATTTATTTATTTTATTTGACCAGAAAGGGACAGAACAAGAAAGGAGAGGGAAGAAAGTGAGAAAGCAAGCTACCAGGTCTGGGACTCTTAACTGTGGTTGGCCATGCGGGAGTACAGTGCCCTAAACCATCACACCACCTGCCAGCCTATCTACTTGTGTTTTCTAAATAGTCACACTTCATATCAATTACTGAAAAATGGAACCATTCTAAACATTCAATAATAGGAGAATAATTTAGTAGATTATAGATTATGGTTTATGAACTTGGCAAAACTTTTATATCTTAAGATATACCATGAGTAGACTCAAATAAAAAAGAATAAGAACATACAAAAGTGATCAATAAATTTTTCAGTTAGTCCTACATGTGTGTGAAAGTGTGCTTGGACCAGCTCCAAACATTCAGTTTAAAAACTGAATTACACCTACCCCCAACACACACAAATGCACACATGTAAGGACGCAGTCCAAAGCTGCGAGAGAATCTATATGGTTTAGAAGACAGCTTTCGTTACAAATATGGCCCACAAATCACATGTTCTGGCTGATCATTTGCCAATAAATATCCTCTTAATTTGAAAAAGGAATGCAGGAAGAGGATGATTTTTCTTTTTGAGTGCATATAAAACTACACTTCAGTTGCTACACGTTAGATTGTATTGTTTCTCCATTTCTGACCGCATCCTTCCTCAATCTATTGTGATTTTTTTTGGTAACTAACATAAATTCAATGAATTCATCTTACACAAAAATCTGTTCAGTAGATAGTACTTCACTTTCAATGACCTATTTCCCAGCAAACTATATATTTGATTACAGGCTTGGATTGCACTTCCACTGTCCATTTGGCACTTTTTTTTCTCTTTTTTTGGCAGTGGTCATTTTGGGATAGCCATAACCAAAGTAAAGTCTCCACATCTTTGTTATTTAGTATGGTGGGTGGGTAAGGATAGTCAGGGTAACTGTGGATGCCTTAAGTTCATGTTTGGAAATCTTTGAGGGAATGTCTTTGTTCTTTAATGTGAAATTGAAGAATGGTAACAGTGGCAGCATCCCTGCTATAGCCCAGTATTCCTCAAACAGATTACAAATGCGAAATTTCCATATTGAGAGAGTTGATTCTGTAGGCTAAGATGGAACCTTAGAACTTATTTTTGCAATACCTTGGGCAATTTTTATGCTGTGATTCCATGGACAACAATTTGAAAATGAAATCTTGGACCAGCAGATGGCATAGTGGTTACGTCACTGGACTCCCACATGGCTGAATGCAGTTAAGACCCAGACCTGGTGGCTTAACACTCATGCTGGGCACATGTGCCTGTGTGCCCAAGATCCTGGGAGGAGAATGAAGGAGAAGAGATTGTGGCGTGAGGGGATGGTGATTTCTCATTTTCCTATTTACTGTCTCTCTTTCTCCCTCCCTCCCCACCAAGCGCATGCACCTTAAGGCAAAAACCTCTAAAAAAATGAAGCCTACGATATGTAATCACCAAAGTATGCATGACACTGCATTCTCTCAAACCTTAATGTGAATCTGAAAAACTAGTTTTCTTAAGTTGCAGATACAGATTCACTAGGTATGGAATAGGACCTGAGTTTGTTTCCAGCAATATCCGGTAGAAGCTGATGCTGCTGGTCCACAGGCCACTCTTAGAATAATGAAACGTTGTTGAGAACTGTTATCCACACTGATGAAAGTATCCACGGTACTTGCTGGATCAGTGAAAAGTTGCAGATCAATGAAAAACATTTCCTAACCTGTTTATAGGCCAGGGTTTCCTTTGGCTTAATTATTTTGTCAATATGCATGCTGCAGTGTTAGAATAAAAATTTGATAGCATGTACTCATAAAATAATTAAAGCTGAACACTAACCTTTTTTTTTTCAAATTAACTATCATCATCTTATTACAATTACTAAACAATAATTCTGAGGCATTGTTAATAAAGTGCTGGATCAGTTTACTAGAGCTGCCATAACAAAATACCACAGGCTGGGCAATTTCAAATCATACTCTGGAGGTCAGAAATCCAAGATCAAAGCGTCCAGAAGGTTCGGTTTCTCTCGGGACTTTTTCTTTGGCTTGCTGATGGCTGTGGTCTCTCTGTGTCCTCACATGGGCTTTCCTCTGTGTGTTGGCATCCCTGGTCTTTTCCCGTTACGTGGATATCGGTCCTATTGGATTGCCATTCTTAAGGTCTCATTTAACCTTCATGACCTCTTTAAAAGCCCACTCTCAATTTTGAAGGGAAATAATGTTGTCCATATTCAGTACAAGTTAATTGATTTGAATCTAAGATAGGTTATATTTTAAAATATTTTTTACTGGATTTGCAGTGGGCAAAAGTCCTTACGTAAAGGGATCTTAAAGTCTACACTGTGTAATGGGCTGAATGCATTCACCCAAAATGTGTATGTTCAAGCCCTAAAATCCCATACACAGAAGGTATGTGGAGAATTAAATTAAATAATCAAGAGGCCGTTAGCTGGAGTCTGTCTTTCTGCTTTGAGTTCCTTTATCATGAACTGCAACCAACTTCGTTTCAAAATGTAGATGAATTTAGGAGTACAAAAATCAAATTGCGACCAATCACAGACCAGAGACACAACAGCCTGTCCAAATGAAGCAGATACCTCCCTGTAGCCCATCAGTAATTTCCCCACTTTGCTCTGTATCTAGATAATGAAAGAGGCCCACGATGCTGGGTATCTTTGCTTTACTCAAATAAACTCACTAAATTTAATTTGTTGAAAGTTTTTCTTTTAACAGAAGATAAGGGTTTTACAAAGATAACTAAGTTAAAATGAGGTCATTCGTGTGGTCTTTAATCCAATCTGACTTACATCCTTATGAGAAAACTGGACATACTAGACACTAGAGGTATGCGTACACGGGGTGCTGTCCCTGTGAAGAAGTTGAAGAAGATGGCTCTCTGTAAGCCAAAGATAAAGGCCTAAGAGGAAACCAACCCAGCTGACATTTTGACTGGGGCTTCTGGTCTCCACACTGTTAGAAAGAAAATTTCTGTTGTGTAAGCCACTCAGTCTGTGGTATTTTGTTACGGCAGCCTTAGAAGACTAATACAGACTATGACTACAGGCAGAGTCAATGCTGGCCCTTTTATTTATTTATTTATTTATTTACTTATTTACTTATTTATTTTTAAAGAAGTAGTCCTTTTAATTATTTATTTTATTTTATTTATTCATTCATTTATTTTAATTTGAGAGGGGAGAGAGAGAGAGAGAGCGTGAGAAAGCAAGCCACCAGGTCCAGGACTCGAACCATGGTCTACCACGTGGGAGTGTCCAGTGCTTTAACCACCACACCACCTGCTGGTCTTCAATGCAGGCCATTTTAAAACATAAAACATAACTTGTGTCTTCTTTCATATTCAGTGAACCACACTGTATGCATCTCTTCCACGATGTGGGGAGAAAATTCCTAAATACAAGTCTAAACACTTGAATGCACGTACTACAGATCATTAGATCCCAAACACAAGTGAAGAATAAGCCATTAGAAAGCAATTTCAAAAGCTGTTTTCCCCCTTAAAAATCCTACAGTTTTAAATTGTCATTAACTGAGAACAAAGTAGTTTGCAATAGTAATACATTTTAAATATTCATTAACATAGAAATGAAATTGCACTGAATTGATGACTGAAGCATTTCTGACATAGCATTTCTGACATAACAACATTTCTGAAAAAAATAAGTCCTACCTTTGTTTTGGGTTCTAGAATTTTTACTCCATAAATCGATATTTGCAACTCAACTTTAGGAATTTTCTGGCCTTCAGATTTCTTGATATGTCTCGCAAACTACAAATAAAAATGTTATGAACAAAATTATTAATCTGTTTCTAAGCATAATGGACACAAACATACATTTCTTGTTCGTATTCAATTTTGGACTTTCATTTAATAAATCATTACCCATTATAAAATGTTCATTAAAAATAGTCTCAAAATATTTAAAAATTATAGCAATCTGCCATTATAATTCAGATTAATTTTAAGTAATTTTTTGAAAAGGTGATTTCCTTTCTTTTATTTATTTGCTAGAGAGTATGTGCACTTTCCAGAGAGAAGCTGAGAGAGAGAAAGAGGGAGAGAGAAGAGAAGCCACCAATGATGAAGAATAGCCATGACACAATCCCTTAATCTCTCCCTCTTTTCATGTTTTTCAAGTCACTGGATCTAAGACTCAAATTCTACATTTGACCATGTGGAATCCAGCAGTCTCAACCACAAAGCAATGTATCTGGCCCACAGATGATTTTTAATGCATTTTTTATTATACATACATTTCACTTTATATATATATGAAATATACACACACACATATATGCATGTGTATATATGTATATATGTATTATAGATGTGTATATATACATGTATATATACATATACACATGTGTGTGTGTGTGTGTGTATATATATATATATATATACATATATATATACATATATATATATATAGTTTTTGCCATAAGGGTACATATGCTTGCTTGAAAGACACAGAGAGAAGGAATGTGAGAAATTACCCCTGCAGGGAGGATGGCCACACTGCAATCCTTTCTCATCCATTCTTCTTTGGGAATTTGGGCATGCATGCACATGTTCCTGGAGTCATTTTTCAAATTACTAGATATGGGATTCAAACCCATGTAGGAGTCCAGTGACTTAACCACCATCCCATCTGCTAGCCCCTCTCTCATAATATTTTTAAAAATACATTCATATCAGATAGTTTAAAAAAATGAAAATCCTTTATGTAAAGATAAGCAGAAACCACTTTATTTTTCTATGGCTCTATCTATCTATCTATCTATCTATCTATCTATCTATCTATCTATCTATCTGTCTATCTATCTATTTATTTGTTTATTTATTTATTTATTTTTTGGAGAGATTTTTTTGCTATAGGGCACGTGCACTCA